ACCTTGTACACATACTTATAAACGGGATGTGTAGTAGGAAAAAGTACGAATTACCCCCTGAACTATCGCGGTCGCCCGATTTACCACCCTAAACTTGAATACCAGATATTTCACACCCTAAACTTGTAAAACCGGACAAATTACCCCCCCCCCTCCAAACCGGAACGGTTTTGGTTCTATGTGGCATACATGTGGCGCTAACGTGGCATTCCAATCCGAAAAAAATAAAAGAATAACATGGGCCCCACATGTCATATGGAGTACAACTAGTACTAAACTCTCTCTCTCTCCTTCCCTTTGATGTTGCGGGCGCGGCGTGGAGTAGAGCCAGACACGGTACCGTGGCGGGGACAACGGGGATGACAGGAGGAGACGTGCTCGCCGGCGAAGACCAAGGAGGAGCTGTGCGCTGGTATATGCGGAGGAGAAGCCACGCGCGCCTGCAGAATCAAGAGGACTAGTCGCCACGGAGCTTGTGATGGCGGCCAAGGGCAGCGCCGGCGCAGTTGGGGAAGGCGGCTCAGCTCGCCGTGGGCTGCGGCGCCGTGGAGGTCTGCGACCACCCCGTCCCCGTGGGCTCCGTCAAGCGCCACGCGCCGACGCCGCTCGATTGGGCCAACGACGCTGCAGACGTGGGATGAGATGGGTATGGACCAAGCAGCGGTGAGGCTAACAGTGACATCGTTGGCGGCGACGACGACAAGCTAGGTGTGGGCCCTCCAGGATGGCGACCCCCAACGCCACGACGGCGCGCCATCCCCGCAGCGCCGACGAAGGGGGGAGGAGATGGAGAGAGGAAGACGAGGGAGGAAGGGGAAGGATCCTCCTTCCCCACCATTGCGGCGCCGCGGACCGCTCGCCCCCACGAGCCACCGTCCCCCGCGCGCTGCCGTCTGCCGCTAGCCACGCACGTCTGCTCCCGCGTCGCCACCGCCGATGCCCTCCTCCACGGTCGCCCGCCGCGCCGCCCGGGAAGCTCCGCCTTAGCCTCAGCTGCCTGCCGCCCGCCGCACGGGGAGCTCCACCTCTACCTCAGCCTCCCGCCTCCCGCCGCCCGGGGAGCTCCGCCTCCGCCGCCACCCGCCTGCTCGGCCTTCGCCTCAGCCGCCCGCTGCCCGCCCGCTCTGCTTCCGCCTCTGCCGCCCACTGCCCGGGGAGCTCCTTCTCCGCCGCCGGCCGCCCGCTCCTACTCAGCCACCTGCCGCTCGGGGAGCTCCGCCTCCGGGGCCGCCGGCGCACCCCCGCGCGCCGCCGCCCACCATCCTTGTGCCATTGCACTCGACAGAGAGAGAGAGAGAGAGGTGGGGAAGATGTGAAGAGGAGGGGGAGAAGAAGAGGGGTTGGGCTGACAAGTGGGTCTATTAACGGCCAAATTTGATAATATCAGCATCGGAAAAGAGGATTAGATCGAAGCGGATTCAAAGGCGGAGATCGATTCAAGAACAGAGCAAGAATCGGCTGGAGTCCGGATCGGCTACGATCAGGATCGGCTGGGTTCGAGTCAGACTGGGTAAGCCGATGCAGCCAATTCCGACAATACGACTTGGTGTACAACATCGGGTTGAGTTGATATGCTTCAAAATGATTGCTGCACATGGATAGAGTCTTGGGAAGGCAATTGTATCTTTTAATTAGGATGTTTTATGTAATTTTCTTAGAGATATATTTAGGGCAAAAGTCTGCCGTAAAGACTTATGATATCTTAGAGTTTGTTAGAAATAAGAGTCGTGTCCGACATGGACATAGTTTGTAATTTTCGGGTATAAATAGACCCCGAACCCCATGTAATCAATTAACACACACGTTCAATACAATTTTGGCCCATCGCCACCCTTTTGCTTTAGTTTTATTTCGACGAGTTCTTGCTTTCGGGTTGAGCTACATCGGTTTCGATCTTCAACAGGAGGTAAAACTTGTTATGACGGCTTGCGTTCTCGGGATTAGTGCTTCCATCTTTATGATACTCTAATCTTGTTTATGTAATTCGTCGAGTTATCATATATCTTACATAATCTCTGGCCATATCGCTATCTAACCTACAATTGGCTAACATTTATTGGAAGAGGGCAGCCGATTAGGTTAGATTTTGACGTTGATTTAGATTATATAAGATATCTACCACTCTATGAAACTTCCAGCGGCTTGATTGTCTAGATATTGTTCTTCTTTTCATACTTAATGCTGCATCAGCTGAGTTTGGTCTATTAAGTTGTGCTTAGAATATCAATCTCTAGCCTGCCTTCTGGTTGCCGATTAGGGTAGTATCGGGGTTTCAGCCAATCTTATCTGATTTAACTATATTTGCTCTATATGCTTCATTGACACGTTAAATCTGCCCTTTATATCAAGATATTATTGCATCTAAATATATTAAGCTTTTGTTTGGTATATTCTGCTTGTTTTTACATCTTAACATAGAGTCGTATCGGAGTATTAGCCGATACATGCTAGATCTATCTGATCGGCTAAGCTGTGAATATATATAGTCCTGTTATTAATATATATTTCGATCTAAGTGATTTATACTGTCTCGGCATGACGACCGATCTATCCCAATCACTTGATTTAAGTATATATCGATATAAGAATTATATATTGTTAATATCTAAAGCCGATCGAATAGATTTAGTTCTTTATTATCTATTTACAACCGCCGATCGATTTACATATGACATCGGCTCAGAGATAAATGATATGACATCGGCACTTAGCCGATCGGCTATCATTTATAGATTTAACCGCGGTTTCTTTGTCTTTATTTCTTATTGATTGCAGGATCAAATCAACTGGCACGCTAGCACACCCGAAGGCGAGTTTTGGACCTGCACTGGAGTTATCGTGTTTTACGTCAACAGGGTCCCATATCTTTTTTATCTGTTTTGGCTGACTAGATTGCCACGTATGCGTCCACGTAGGACCAAAACCGGCCTAGATCGATTTAGGGGGGGTAATTCATCCGGTTTGTAAAGTTTAGGGTTAAAAATAACTGGTATTGAAGTTTAGGGTGGTAAATCGGACGACCACAATTGTTCAAAGGGTAATTCGTACTTTTTTCCTTTGTTTTAGGGATGAACTGATGGAGGAAGTAGATTTTAGGCAAAATTTGCTACAGGACACCGAAAGATTGCGGCCTTTGCTGTGAGACATCCGAAGATCGTGAATCTTTTCGTGGACACTGTAAAAAAGTAGTAATTAGCTGTTGGACACTACTCCCATTTTTTTATTATTTCCAGTTAAAATGGAGAGAGAAAGTTGTGTAAGTACCAAAATGCCCCTGCTCTCTCCTTTTCTTTTCCCTTCTTCCTCGTGCTTGCTACTGAGCCGAGCATAGGCGCGACGCGCGCGGCCAGCCCACGGTGGGGCGGTGGTGGCAGTGCATCACCCAGGTTCACCGCCGACGGCGACGCCGCACCTGAAGCTGCCGAGTAGGTAGGCCTGGAGACATGTTGATGGCGAGCACGATGTCGTTGCCATCATTCACCATCACGCCAATTTCCGGCAATCTATTACATCCTAAATTTTTCCCTACCCATAGAGGCACTGCACCCAATCAATTTTAACAATTAGACGAAGATGCCTTGCCAGTCCAAACTCCATTGGGCTGCCATCAAGCTCATCACGGGCACACGACCCCGACGTTGCTCTATCCTGCAATCATTGGAAATCGACTTCCCAAAGTTCCTAGACACCCCGTCGTACTACTGCTTGGTCGAATTGAAGCTGCGCATATTTCCCCTTTGCAACCCGATGTCCCGCACCGACACCCTAGCTGTGCGGCTCTCTCATGGCGCCGCTGACGGGTGGCCAAGCTCCAGGCCTACCTCCTCCAACCAGCTGCCGCATGCTCTGCCCTAGCCAGCAGCTGCACATGCTCTCCATTGCCGCTGCTGTGCACACGCATGAGAGAGAAGGTAGCAGTAGGAAGAAGAACATGAACAAAGAAAGCTAGAGATGTGAGATTGACCAGTGGGCCCATGGGCAAACTTATCTTTAATAAATGTTTCTCTCTCCATTTTCTCTAGATATAATAAAATAATACCGCGGATGTCCAGTAGCTAATTTCCATATTTTTGCAGTGTCATCTAACAAAAACGCATTCTTTCGATGTCCTCCAGCAAAGAGCACAATCTTTTGATGTCCTGTAGCAAAATGTGCCTAGATTTTAAGTACTCTGACGAGCTACTATGACTTTTTTTTGCCGAATTTCTGAATCAACTTTGTATATTATCACCACGTCAGCGCGTGCCAAAATCACTTTAAAACTGGCAGACAATTATGGTCGAACAACATCCAATTCTTATATAATTTTATTATATTTTACAGACTTTTAGGAAAGCGTAGCATTGTAAAATGAACTTTTGGTATAATCCTCAAATTCGTACGTAAATCTAATACACCACACGTTTTATATTATAAGTCGTTTTGACTTTTTCTAATTAAACTGTATTAAATTTGATTAAATTTATAGAAAAAATAACTTTATTAAGTTTGATTAAATTTATAGACAAATTTAGAAACATCTCAATTTATATAATTTGATGATACGTTTGTTTTGTATTTTTCTATAAATTTGGTCCAACTTAAATAAGTTTAATTATAGAAGAATCAAAGCGACTTATAATATGTTGAAACAAAGAAAGTATTAAAAAATTGTGAATGTGTTGGGAACGATTTTTTAAAGAAGAAATTGTGAGCATGTTGGAAATGATATTTTTTTTGAAGAAGAGATTACGAGCGTGTTGAGAATGAGATTTAAAGGGAGACATCTCTCCAATCATTTTTGTAACAAGAAATTGTAAGCGAACACACACACTGTTACTGTAAATATACATCCCATGAGCATGCGTAAATATGCAGTTGATGTTTCAAGTTCTAGGAATTCGATAGGAGGTGCATCAAAACGAGATATTTTTTTTTTACTGGATTGTATTTGAGAGCAATAAATGTGATATAATTCTGAGAACCGAAGGAAATAAAGAACAGAGGAAAGTCTGCTTAACGCCCCTGAACAGCTGATGTTTACTATAACAGCATTGCACCAAAAGTATCAGTAATCACTTGGGTCATTAATTAGTTGCATAAACTGGATAGATAGGCTACCATTCTCAGCAACACAAAAGCACCAGCAACATTCATCAGAATTCAGTAAAATCAGCAGATTTAAACAGAATGGCTTTTCGATCAAAAGATATCCTTTGCCTTGATGATATGAACTTCCATTGTGCCCTTATGATTCTTCAACAGTTCGAACAGGCAAATATCCCCCACTCCAAAATCGTTCTCATTCACAAACTTTTGCCATCCACCTACCATCCTTGTGCCACTCCCACCCCCACCAGCAAAAGCCTGATGCCCCACTTGCCCCCAAGTCGCGAAAGACTGATGAATCTCTCGCCTCCAAGGTATTCATCCACGTACCGTTTGGCGACACTCTAGTTGCATACATGAAAAGGAAATGGAGATGATGGAGTTATTGCAAATAAATTATAAGTAAAACAATCTGGCACTGCATCATAAATCTTAAGCAACCGCAGCAAGTGTATCGCATGTAAATTCAGTGGATAGTTTAAATAATCTTAAGCAACCGCAGAAGTAACAACATCGAGAATAATGTTTATCGGTAGTTTAAATAGTGCGTAATTGAGCAGTATGGACATCAGTAGTGTAAACACCAGTTTATATTAGTGCGTATTTGAAAGTATGCACATTTGAGAAAAGAAATATGACACTCACTAGAGTGGATAACACTCCAGACACGTTGCTCCTTTTAATGACAGCTACAAATATTGGGATTTCAGAATGAATATGTTGGATCTTGAAGTTCACCACCTTCTCCTGAACTGGATTTAGTTTGGTCCTACGCCCAATGATGGGATCAGGTATAACACCTACTCTGCAACCCTGATCTTCAGAGGGCAAAGAATATCCTGTGTGCAAAGAAAAGAAAACATCAACCAGTTATAGCTGTGAAATATGACATGACAACACCAGATGAGATTTATAAGGCAATGCATATAAGAACTGAGTTGTAACCGATGACTCGGAGGAGGAACTCATCATGGTCTTGTTGCACTCACTTAAGTTATCTCTTTGCACCTGTGTCCATCTATATGTTGGTGGTGACTGCATTTGCGTGGGCATAGCTTGAGTGCGAGAAAGGGCCATGTTTTCAATTGGCATCTGCATGGGATAATGAGGAGCATGAAAATGGTTCACGGTTTCAGTAGGCAATTGCATCGGCATGGGTTGAGGATGAGCACGAGAACTGTTCAGTGTTTCAGTAGCTGGTGACTGCATTGGCATGTCCTGAGAATGAGCACGAGAACTGTTCAGTGTTTCAGTAGCTGGTGTCTGCATTGGCATGGGCTGAGAATGAGCACGAGAACTGTTAAGCGTTTCAGTAGCATTTGTGCGCCCTTCTTGCACATTAGGATCAAGATAATCATCCTGAGAATGAGCACGAGAACTGTTCAGTGTTTCAGTAGCATCTGTGCGCCCTTCTTGCACATTAGGATCCAGATAATCATCCACAGCAACAGAACATACTTTCTCGCGGCCAACTTGATCAAATATTATGACATCAAACTGAGAATTTCCTTTGAATCTGAACATCATGGAGTCACCCATATGTAAATCAAAGGTTTTGACGAATTGTGCCCATCCTGCTGCAAAGATAACCTTTTCTTGGGACTTGTCAACTCTAACAGTGTAACTGTTTCTGTTATGTGTTTCCAGTTGGATTTCTTCAGGGATGTCACCCTTTAAACGCTGCACAAATTCTTTCGGAATGGTCTGCAGAAACATATTTTTGAAGGTGTTAGTCTGAAATTATAATTTATGAACAAAGTTCAGAACATACTAGCTGCTCCACTATCTGCTCTCCTCTCTGCAATATGAAGACAACAGAAGGCCCAACCCAGAATGCTACAATCTAATTCATGGCTTGACCTCGATGCTACTAGTGAACTGCGTAGTTCTGATGTGATATGGGTGATGTACAGCAATGAATCAGATTTAGTCTCCCCCAACCTAAGTCCTCCTCTCATCCCTAGCAACCATCGCCGCCCGGCTATCCACCCGGTGGTGTTTACCCCCTAAGAACCCTAACCCATAACATATGGAACCAATTAATTCCATGAAGAAATTTCCAACCCATAGAGTCCTATTTTTCAACCGAAATAGAGTAGACATACAAGTCCATAATATATCTTTACTTATTTACATATCTGCAGTTATCATGATTTTTTGCACAAAATAAAGTGGACAAAAAGTACAATTTTACCCATCCGATCTTATACTTTTATGGACAATTATACCCTTTCACGTTTATACTACTGCTAACTAAGGTTGTAGTATAAAAAAGATCTGAACCCTTGAATACAACTAGGGGCCTGTTTAGATTGGTGTCATTTTAAACTATACCATTATTTGGTAAAATTGACAAATATATTACTATATTTAGATTGTTACCAAATTATGGTAACGCATAGGAAACTTTGGCACAACATATTTATTCCATCCTACCAAAATTTGGCAATTTTATCAACTTACCAAAAATTTGGCAATGTTGATTTTGACAATAATTTGAACAAGCCCTAGACCCACGGTTTAGATTAATTTCTACTACCAGTAAAGAGTACCGTAACGAGACTCTTCTTTCATTGCTACAGCGACGTTAACATAATTTTGGTGCTAGTTTAAATGTATGTCAGTCATGCACATAATACGATCTTTGCCATTGATATATTCATATGAGTACTTTTCATGTTTATGTTCAAAATGGGGCCTTTCTTTTTAGTTCCACCCTGTGCGACAAAAATCTCAGGGCAGGCCCTGATTTCTGTATGTGACTACAGAACAAACTGATGAAATTGAAAAGCCCAATTTCTTGCTCTTTTAGATATGATGACATCTGGTGCCAACCAACAAACCTAATGTGCTGTTATGTTATTGGCTTAAATCTGGTCATCAATATTTATTCTTTTTAAGAGGGTACAATCTAGTCATCGATTAATATGGAAATTTGCAAGGAAGATCAAGATTATAAGCTTGAAATAACCTACTACTACCAAACTGGGTCTGCAATCCTTTTCCAAAAAAAAGGGTCTGCAAGTAGGAAAGTAACACAAAAGTTACATAAGGCAAGGGACAAGAAAAGAAGGCATTGCATTTTCATAAATAATAGAGTATTTGGCTTACAATCTCATGTTGAAAATCACCCATCATAAGCAGCAAAAAGTGTTTCTGGCAATCATCCAAATTCCTGTAGTCCTGCTCATCGCGCCGTCTACATCTTTCGCACCACGTGCCCATCTTTCAACAAACCCCTACAGTGTCGGAAAAAATCACTACTTCTCAGTGGGGATATTTTTTTTTCTCATCCTTTCACTAGTTCAGGACCATGGCAATGCAACAAAAAGGCCTGTGAATCACCATATTTCCCGCTTGGAAGCTAAATTTAATCAGAGAAATTTCCACATCCGGGTTGGTGCTAATCAGAGAAAAAACAAATGCGACGGTGCAAAAAGACAAATTTTCACAGTTTTGTCACGACTGAACCCAAAAGATGGTGAAAGGGCGTTGTAGTGTAGACGAGCGGGACCCAAATGAAAAATCTCAAGCAATGAAAAGCTACTTTTTTTTAGATAATGGATTAACCGGCCTCTGCACCCAAAGTGGATGTACACAGCCCGAAAAGCTCAGTTATTAGAAATCAAATAAACAGCCTGAGAAGGGAAAAAAAAAACAAGTATTGCATTTGACATTATAACCAACCTGAGAAGGGAACAAGAACGGAGTATTTAGTAAGGAAGAATGGAGAACCCACCTAGACGAACAGCTCGATCAAGCGAGGAGGACGATGGGGCGAGGAAGAAATTGGCGATGGAGAAAGAAAATATGTAGAGCAGCCAGAGAGGAACCTTACGAAGGAAGGAAAGGAGGAGAGAACTGTGGATGGATGAACGGTTAAAATAAAAAAATTACTACTCCTAAACAGCAGCGGCCACTGTCAAAAGAAAGAGAGAAGGGAGAAAAGGAGATGAGAAGCAGGCCGGACTGTAGTCAACCAGGTTTGCTCCTCACTAAATTTTGATAAGACGTGACATAGCAATGTGGCAGTGTGACACGCTACCCCGGTAGTCCAGCTAGGAACCTCCGTGCCATTTCCATGTCCAACCTTCCGTCTAATTTAAAATTATTTTATAATTAATACTTCTTTTATTATTAGATGATAAAATATGAATTGTACTTTATATGTATTTTATTATTTTAATTATTTCACAAATTTTTCATATAAGACGGACGGCTAAATATTAGACATAGAAAATTACAACTGTGTTTAAAATGAGACGGAAGGAGTACATCATTTGGTTGTGTTCTTACCCTAGGTTTCCCAACTCATCTCTCTCGTTTTTCGTGCGCACGCTTTTTAAACTGCTAAACAATGTGTTTTTTTAAAAAGTTTCTATACGATAGTTGCTTAAAAAAACATATTATCCATTTTTTTTAAAAAATTAGCTAATACTTAATTAATTGCACTCTAATGGACCGTTCCATTTTCTGTCCACACTGTTACGGTTGGGAACTCCATCCAGCGAATATAGATTGTGTCTTCTTAGAGCTTAAAATGTATTGTAAAGTACTCCCTCCGTCAAAAAATAGTCAACCTATTTTATTTTCAACCTTGGTTGGCATTTTTTTTAGACTGAAAGAGTAGTTGTCACAAAATTTATATTACTATTTGTCCCATCAATCAACTCCGATTCGATTTTTATTAATTACTCTTTATGTCTCAATAAAAAATCCATTTCTGAAGATAAAAGTATATATGTTCATATTCATTTCTAAGATTTGATTCTTTTGGAGAACAGAGGGTATACACTCTAATCAACCTCCTACTCCCGTTCAAATAAGAGGTATCATAGTCATTCTTTCTCAATCTTAATTCATGCTAAACAATATAGAATAACAACTATTATGCTACGAAGGAAGTAGTACAGAAAATGTTTTGCCCGACAAAACCTATGGATTACTGAGCGCAAGTTTTATTAACATTATTACAGAAAAATGTATACCAGAAGTGAAGGATCCATCACTGAACAACAAGAATCGAAGGATCCGTTTTTCCCATAGGAGTGAAGGTGCAGATACGACCGGCGTTCGACGGTTGCCGGCGGCGTGGGTGCGGCGTGCAAGCCGTCCTACTGCCGGCGGCAAGGGTGCGCCAGGGTTCAGGAGCTGGTGGCTGTACCTCGCATTGTAGTGCTTCTAGCAATTCTCAGTCTCTGGATGTCTTTAGTTCCGTTCAAACTTTCTAACTTTTCCGTTACATCAAATGTTTAGACACATGCATTAAGCATTAAATGTAGAGAAAAAAAACCAATTACATAGTTTATATGTAAATTACGAAATGAATCTTTTAAGTCTAATTACACCATGATTTAACAATACGGTATTACAGTAAACATTTACTAATGACAGATTAATTAGGCTTAATAGATTCATCTCGTAGTTTACAAGCGGAATCTATAATTTGTTTTGTTATTAGTCTACGTTTAATAACAAATTACAGATTCTGTCTGTAAACTACGACATGAATCTATTAAGCCTAATTAATCCATCTTTAGCAAATGTTTACTGTAGTACCACATTATTAAATCATAGAGCAATTAGGCTTAAAAGATTCGTCTCGCAATTTACACGCAGTTTATGTAATTAGTTTTTCCATTTATATTTAATACTCCATATATATATCCAAATATTCTATGTGACATGCTGAAACATTTTGACAGGAATCTAAACAGGCCCCAAATGATGCTAAAGCACCTTGTTCTTTGGGGACGGAAAACCACATGTCTGCATTAGCTGCGGAGGCGTAGCACTTCCCTGGGAAAAAAAATGATAATATTATGTTTTTATCATGTGAAGTACTCCCTCCGTCAAAAAAAAAAAAGACAAACCCTAGATTTTCATGTCCAACTTTGATTGTCCGTCTTATATGAAATTTTTTTATAATTTGTATTTTCATTGTTGTTAGATGATAATACATGATTAATATTTTATGCGTGACTTGTCTTTTTAATTTTTTTTATATTTTTTTCAAATAAGACGAACGGTCAAGCATTGGGCACGGAAACCAGGGTTTGTCTTTTTTGGAATGGAGGGAGCAGTAGATAGTAGATACTTTACTAGATATATGCTGATATATTAATATAAAGTGTAAATATATGTTATATTGCATATATAATTTGACATGCATATATTGTTTTAATCAGGAACAAAGACCCCACGGGGATTTATTCCCCGTGCAGGGGCAAGGATGGGAATAAAGTTACCACAGGGTAAGGATGGTGATGCATTTCCCGACGGTGAATGTTGTCATCTCTTTTGTGTGAGGGAGGAGATTATGGCAAGTACTACAATGGTAAATATGGTGCCTCTAAGAGTGTCACATTGGATTGAGTGATGAGATGGAAAGGAGATAGATGATGAGCCACCCCTAAATCAAGAAGTAACCTCCACACAAATTTTAAGAAAGATGTGAGAGTATTAAAGATATTGGTACCAGAGGTGATACATTGTATAAGTTGTCTCTCAGTTCAGGAGTGAAAAAAATAAATAAATTTAAAGATGGTGGTCACATTTATCGTAGCACTTGCCGTTAGTAGATGCGTTGCTAACCAATATTGTATTCGTAGGTGTAGTGAAAACCGAGGCAGGATGATCAAATGAGTCAGACAGCAACTGAAGAGATTCCTTTAGGTAACATTGTGTCGAGCATGCCAAGTTCTAAAGTATCTCAATGGCATCACTATCACATGAAATACAAAATTGTTCAGAACCAACTACTTGCCACAAAAGGAAGTTCATAATGCTTACGGTTCTTAATTAACTTAAATAAAAGAAACTTGTTCAGGAAATACGGGTAGCTTCGCGCGAGGATAGAATGTGTGGACAGGAAACATAACTCCATTAATCACTGGTGGAGAAACCCTTTGTAGTCCCGGTTCGTAACCCCCCTTTAGTCCCGATTTCTAAACCGGGAGTACCAATCCGGGACTAAAGATCGCTATCTTTAGTCCCGGGTGAATTAACCGGGAGTAAAGATGGCTCAGCCACGTGGCAGGCTGAGCCATCTTTAGTCCCGGTTGGTGTTACCAACCGGGACAAATATATATATATATATATATATATATATATATATATATATATATATTTGTTTCAATACATATATATGCATACATATATATATGTATATATATATATTATATTATATTATATGTATATACATGCATAATATATATGTATTTATACATATATATGTTATGCAAATGCATATGTATATAGATATATATATGACCAAAATATATTTACATTATAGAAAATGTGTACACATGCATATAGAAACATATGTAGTCATGTATTAATTACAATCCATTATATGTCCTAGCTAGCTACGATTTCGATGTAGTAGTACTCGCTGCTAGCTCAGAAGCTAAGGACCGGTGAATTGTGTTTCCGTCGTAGTAGAATTCACCCTTAGGATCAAGGATTTCTTCGTTGATGAATCCCATGAGTTGTTCTTGAACCGCCGCGGTAAATTCCTTGTGTGTGGTCAGGTTATCCCTCATGCGAATAAACTATATGAATGTATGAAATTGATTAGTAATTAAACAATAAATCGCTACGTAATGAAATTTTGAATTTATTTGTACGTACTTCGAGCTCTCTTGTGGTGATGATTTGGTTTGCAAGGCAGTGGCAATACTCGCACACGTAATAGCCGCACAAGTTAGTTCCCTGCTTTTGCTTTGCGCACTACAAATAAATGACAAACAACGAGAGATCTAATTAATATACACTTGTATGTATTTGAATCGGAGAAATATAAATGCAGAGCATGTGTACTCACAGGAAATTTGAACTTCCGCCTAAGTCTTTCTCTCCATTTGCCGCGGACCAAATGACGGAACCGATACCAAGCCCTACATGGAGTTTAAAGCTATGATTCGTAGTAGCAATTAACATAACAAGATTTTCTTAATTAACAAAGGAACTTATGACGGTACCTGTCTATAAGTTCGAAAACCTTGTCAAACGTAGACTCTTTTTTATCCATTGAGTCATATACGTTGATGGTGCAGGCATCCAGGTCGAAGAGTAAAAGCACCCAGTGGAATCTGCAATGTGCGTGGGATGCATTACATATGAAACACTTAGCAAGTTCGTATGGGAATGAAATTTTGTATGTAGGAAGACAGTAAAATTAAACTAACTCTGTGTTGTATGGCAACAGTATGAACGTCTTGTAATGCTGCGCCTTCAGGAGATGGACGAGATTGTCCTCTGTTTCTTGTGGATATTGGTCGAGCATTGCGACGTTTACTTTCCGAGGGTCGATGAATCCAGTATCGAAAACCCTCCGCCGTCGGGCCCTTTGAATCTCCATTCTACAACGATAAAAGGGAGTATATTATTTTCTATAGTCTACTTATATACAAGGACCTAATTAATTAAAGGAGACGTATAGTAAGAAATCTAACTTAACGATATACTTACAAAATCCAGCAACTCATAATAGAGACGTCGAGGGCGTCCAGCTGGTATAGTTCGTAGATTCCCCTGAAATTGATCCAGAGAATGTCATCTCCTTGCAAGAAGTCCGTGTCCCTGATCCTCGCTCCGATCATCTCTCTACCGGTGGCGCTCATCTCCATGTACAGCTGATGGAACTTGTACATTTGTGTGGGTAGGGACTGCAGCAGCTCAGGCTTGACAAGCGGTTTACCGAGTTCGTACATGTATTTCACTTCCGCCTTTTCGATTGGTGCGACTCCTAGCAATTGATCCGTAGTTAGACCGGTGTCAGTAATAAATTGTTCTATCGTCATTTCTTTACCGGTCACCAACGGCTCGATCTCCTGGTTTGGTTGCTCTCCAAGCTGAGGGACTGGTTTGGACTTTCCAGAAGATGCTTTCTTCAGCGTTCGCTCATAGTCCGATAGCTTGATGGCCTCCTTGACAGATGCAGACATACCCCTGAAGAAGTTCCTGACACTGGGGTCTATAGGAATCTTCTTTTCTGGACTTCGAGGCTTGAATTGTCTCTTGACTTCTGATGCAACGTAAGCGTCAAGCTCCTCTTGCGTGCAATCGTACCCCGGGTCCTTGTTCTTGGCGGCGTCAACTTTCGCCTTCTTCGTTGCCCTTGTGTGGGCAGGCGGTGGAGCTGGGGGGGCCCTTGACTTTGAAGGTGCCGGAAGAGGAGCTTGCGGGGGAGTAGGTGTAGGAGCATGAGGAGGAGTCGGTGCAGGATCCTGAGGAGGAGTCGATGCTGGAGCCTGAGGTGGAGACGGTGCTGGCGGAGCAAGAGGAGGAGACGGTGCAGGATCCTGAGGAGGAGATGGCGGAGCCGGAGGAGATGGTGCACGAGACGCCGCTTGTCGCCCAGGGAGGATGATGTACCGCCTGCGCCATAGAATAATGGCATGGCTTGTGTCTCGTAGATGCGTCTCACCGTCTCCTCCAGGGTAATCCAGCTCGAGGTCCTCGTACGCGCCTTCGACCAACTCAACTTCGACCTTCGAGTATCCTGCTGGAATCGGCCTGCAGTGATAAGTACCTGAAGGGTCCGTTGGGATGGCCATGCCCGACGCCACCTTCATGTTGTGAGAGATTATTTATTAGTAATCAACATATATAAGCAGCAACTAGCGGAATGGCTAAATCTTACCTTTATTGATAAGTTCTTGAAAGGAATATGCAGCTCACATGGTGTCCGCTGAGTGATGTCATCAACGGGACAGGTCGATTCGTCCTGTGTTTGCATGGCGTCCATGCTCTGTGATCCTACCTGCCCCGTTGAGGCGCAGCTGCTACGGTTTCCTGACGGGCTCACCATTGCAGGAGGAATGGTCGGCTGGGGATCATGGGACCGATGTGCGGCCATGCGTTCATCAACCTTCCTTGCCACCTCCTCTTGCATGTTGAGTTCGTAGCTCGATACCCGGAACTCTAGGTCTGCAATCTTCGCCTCGGTATCTCTCTTGCTCCTCATCCGACTCCTGTACGTGTGGATGTCCTCCTTGAAACCAATCTTCCAAGGAATCACCCCTTTCCCTCGTGTTCGTCCTGGATGCTCTGGAGTCTGCAGGGCGAGTGTCAGCTCGTCCCTATCTCTGTCTGCTCTGGAGTCTGCATCACGTCGATTGCGTGGCGTACGTCCAAGAATTCCCAATATGGTAACTCCCAAAATATAGAGTTCTTTTTCCACATCGCCGCGTGACCATCTTCGCTCTCTATATGCTGGCTTCCAGGCCCCTTTCCGAACACTACTTTAAGATCTTTAACCATAGCAAACACTATTTTCCCGCTGCGATGTTTAGGCTTCGTACGGTGGTCGGCCTTATGTTCGAAGTGCTTGCCTTTCTTCCGTACCGGGTGGTTTGCTGCAAGGAATCGACGATGACCCATGTATACAACCTTCCTACAGTGCTTAAGATACGTACTTTCTGTTTCATCCATACAGTGAGTGCAAGCCTTGTACCCCTTGTTGGACTGTCCGGATAGGTTGGTAAGTGCAGGCCAATCGTTGATGGTTACGAACAGCAGCGCTCGTAGGTTAAACTCCTCCTGTTTGTCCTCGTCCCACACGGGGACACCTTCCTTCTTCCACAACTGTTTAAGATCTTCGACCAGTGGTCTTAGGTACACGTCGATGTCGTTACCAGGTTGCTTGGGGCCTTGAATAATAATCGGCATCATTATGTACTTCCTCTTCATGCATAGCCAGGGGGGGAGGTTGTAGATACACATCGTAACGGGCCAAGTGCTATGGCCGCTGCTCATCTCTCCAAAAGGATTCATGCCATCCGTACTTAAACCAAACCGTATGTTTCGTGCGTCCTTTCCAAATTCTTTAAATTTTCTGTCGATGTTTCGCCACTGCGAACCATCGGCGGGGTGTCTCAGCATCCCGTCCTGTTGACGCTCTTCAGCGTGCCATCGCAACATTCTAGCATTCCCCTTGTTCCTGAACAAACGCCTTAGCCGTGGTATTATAGGGAAATACCACATCACCTTAGCAGGAACTCTCTTCTTTGTTAGCTGCCCGTCAACTTCTCCTGGATCGTCCCGTCTAATCTTGTATCGTAGTGCTTTGCAAACAGGGCATGCTTCTAGGTTCTCATACTCCTCACCGCGATATAGGATACAATCGTTCGGACATGCGTGAATCTTATGAACTTCCAGCCCTAACGGGCAGACTATCTTCTTAGCCTCGTACGTTGTCTCGGGCAATTTGTTTCCCCCCGGAAGAATGTTCTTGACGAGTTTCAATAAATCGCCAAATGCCTTGTCACTAACCCCATTTTTTGCCTTCCATTGCAACAACTCCAGAGTGGTATCCAACTTTTTGTGCCCCTGCTCGCAACCTGGGTACAACGAAGTTCTGTGGTCCTCCAACATCTTGTCCAATTTATGGGCCTCCTTTTCACTTTCGCAGTCCTCCCTAGCGTCCTGCAACATCTGACCAAGATCCTCCGCAACGTCGTTACCATCGGCAGCTATTTCCTCCTCGCCCGTTTGATTTCCTTCAAATCCAACATACTGAGCAAAGTCCGGAATATTGTCGTCTTCCACTTCATCTTCTTCCATTTCAACACCTTGCTCTCCGTGGGATGTCCAACAATTATAGCTTGGCATGAACCCCGACTCAAACAAGTGGAAATGAATAGTCCTGGATGCAGAATACTCCTTCTGATTCTTACACTTATTGCATGGACAACAAATAAAACCCCTTTGCCTGTTAGCTTCGGCCACTCTCAAAAAATAGTGCACGCCGTCAATAAACTCTTTGGACCGCCGGTCAGCGTACATCCATTGCCGATCCATCTACATGAGTCAAAAAAACCGTACACAAATAATTATTCTTACAATAATGACAGTCATACAATAATTATAAGATATCTTTATTCATACAAAAATCATAAAATATTACACCAAATAATTCTTAAAAACTATTCGTAAAGTTTTAAACTAATTTTAATGTGTTTTACTTCTTTTAATTTTCATTTTAGTTTGTTTTCTATTATTTAAGATTAACTTTCACTAGAGTTTTCCTTCTCAACTATTTTATAAAACCCTGTTTAGCAAATGAACTAAATTTCTATATATTCTTTCTTCCCCACACACATTTTCTCTCTCATCAACTTACAAATAAATTTTGGAGCCAAAAAAAGTGTGCAAAACATAGGTGCAAATGTAGTATGACAAAAAAAACATTGGAGGATGAAGTTGCAAACCTTTTAGGCACCTCCGATTTGTATGTAATCACCAAAATAAATTCAATAGAAATTTTGGCATGACCTCCCCTCTTTTTTGAAGAAATTTTGAAGCTTGCTCGGGCAGCTGGAGGAGGAAGAAGACATATATATAGGGGTGGGACTTTAGTCCCGGTTGGTAGCACCAACCGGGGCTAAAGATCACCGGGATCTTTAGTCCCGGTTGGTATTACCAACCGGGACTAAAGTTACGATCTCTACCAACCGGGACTAAAGATCCCGGTGGGGCCTGACAGGCCCTGACAGCATTCGAACCGGGACTAAAGATCATCTTTAGTCCGGGACTAAAGATCAAATATGCCCGCTACCCTTTTGAACCGGGACTAAAGATCATTTTTAGCCCCGGTTTTTATTGCATCCGGGACTATTGTGGAAATCGGCCGACCGACGAAAGATGGTTTCTCCACCAGTGAATCCCCATCAAGGAAGAACAAGTTCACTTGGCCTTGGTGCTTCGAGATAACTTCAAGTTCTGAAAAGCTTCCCTGCATATTCCAAGAACCACAAGTATTGAATGAGTCTCATTTTGGAACATGGAACTTCTAAGGCTAGTTTCTGTTGTACTATGATGTTATAACCTATTAAAAATTACTGCCATGAAAACATTTATTTTCAGGACAATCTAGACATCGTTTTAACAAAGTCAGTATGAATACTATAGAGATATTGGTACAGAAGTTTTGACCACATTCAATCCTAAAAACATTTTCTTTAAGCTGGACGTGGTGGCCTGTAGTTGCCAATGCTTGACAACCATGGTTTCTCTTACCGTTTAGAAGGGAATTATTGCACCCCCGCGTAGGGATGCAAGTGGGGCGGGTAAGCTGGTTTTTTCTTCTAAATTTTGTACTACCATATAAGAAATAAACTAGCAAGCAGGTTTTTATGCGGATAATAGGACTACCCACTTGCATCCCTAGCCCCCGCAGTAAGGCGGTTACCACATAGCATCCCTAGCCCCCGCAGTAAGGCGGTTACCATGTGGTAACCACCTAAAACCGTGTGAATTTCGTCGGCGAATATTTGAATTCAAAAATTTGGAGGTTTGGACACGGTTTGATGCGGTAACCGTGATATTTATGCGGTAACCGCAAGTTGTTTAGCTGAACAGAATAATGCTAAAAAAATTGAAAAACCACTAAAAGTATAAATTAGAAATAATTAGAAGAATATATACGATACTTGCTAACCTAACTTTTGAATGTAAAATGCATAAATTAGACATGGCCTTTTTTTATATTATGGAGATATTTTCTCTTGTATTGGGCCTTAATGGGCCGGTTGCACAGTGCAACTTTAAGGCCCAATAACTTTTTTCTTTTTTCTATTTTCTAAACTATTATCGGCTTTGCACTCAATTTGATTTTATCTTACTCCTTTTTTAAAAAAATTCTTCACCATCCGCCACTAAAAAACAAGAACTACATCCATGATTTTTTTTTGAAATTTTGAATTTGGTCAAAATTCTCCAAATCCTACCACCAGTAACCATTACCGTACCCCGCGGTAAGCCTAGTTAACAGCGGTAAGGGTAACCTTACGTGACAACACATGGTAATGAGAAACACTATGCCTTCAAAATACTCCCTTCGTCTCAAAATATAACAACTTCTAACACTTAAGGTTTGTCCCAAAATACAACTTCTTCGCCAACATGCTCCTACCAACCAATCACTACCTTCCACCATTCAATTTTCTCAACTACTTGCAATTCTCAATCAATCATAATCTTCTCCCATTTAATTCTACCTACTTTTTTAATACCCATGTTTAACCCTAAAAATTTTTATATTCTGGGACAGATGTAGTAAAAATAATTCATAGAAATATAGTTGTGGAGATGGAAGGTACGTAAGTGTGATGTTATGGCATGAATGCATTGACTTTCATCGAAATGCACATTGGATTCGCAAAATCCTAACAAACCCAAAACACCATAATAAAAAGAAACACGTTCACAACTCTTTTGCAGTTGAGTGTGAATCGACCTTGAACCCACAAAGATTTTGATATATGAACGACAACGACAAAAGATGAGCTAAGCCATGGAGTTCATTGTTCATAGAGACTAGCAACTGGCACATGGTAAACATTACTGCATTACTGACTACATTAGTTATGTATACAAAGGGAAAGATGGGATACCGTAACGCATTCTCAATCTGAACATCTGCTGGGTCCAATTTGAGTCCATCAAAAAGTGCATCGCACGCACTTCCATAGTCCTGATGACAAAAGAACATGATCAAAACAACAATTTGCAGCACAAAGCCAAAAAGGATAACTCCCAAGTTCTAACCTTCAGTGACATCAGAGATGCGCCCAGCCGGTAGCAGGCCTTTGACCAATCAGGCTGTTTTTTTCTGCATTCGTGAGCATCCAGCAAAGCCTTGCCTCCATGACCTCTGCGAAGCCAGCAAAGACTCCTATTTGAGAACAAGGTGGCATCATCAGGGTCAAGGTCCATTGCCTGCATCCAACAAGAAACAACATCATTAACAAGATTTTATTTTAAAAAAAATCACAATTTTCAGAACTACCAAAACAAGATATGAAAATATCTGCATATTCCTGTGCATAGATTCATACAAATATTTAAAAGAAACACTTGACCAGATATATTCTGGAATGCAATTCTAGCGTCTAGGGTCACTGGCGACCCCTTTACAAATAAATTTGAATTTTCAGCATGTTGCAGTGTATTGTAAATTCCAGAAAAAGCTCATAATGATGTGCAAACCAGCAAAAAATCAATTCATTGTTTCCTAGATTTCAAGATACAAAAGGAGACAAGCAGCGCTGTTCATGGAGATGTCTACTATTTGCTCGTTTGTTAATGATGCAACATGTCCTTTTTTTACCTTGAAAACCAGGATGGATTTTGAATTTATTTTTTGCAGATTTGTACATCTTTATAGGCAAAATTTGCTATAGGACACTCAAAAAATATGTTCTTGGCTGAGAGACACCGCAAAAACGTGATACGGCTGATGGACACTGCAAAAATTGTGTAATTAGCATAGGACACCGGAGACAATATTTTATAATTTATGGGTCAAAAGAGGTGAGAAATTTTTTAAAATGGCGAGATTGCCCCTGGCGCCATCTTCATCTCACGGCTCGCCCATCCACGACAGGTTCCCAAGAGCGCCTCCGCCGGCTGAGAGTCGTCGTCCTCATCATCGCGGCGCTGGCGCCTGCGCGACCTCATCGGCGTCGGCGGCTGGTCCCGCAGCGACGGCAATGACAAGTTCGCCATCCTGCGACACCACCACGCCGCCGCTGCCGTGCCGCCATCATATCCAAACCGAAGACAACAATTGCTGCTGCGCAGCAGAAGCAGGCAAGCAGCAGAGCTCCTGCACGCGCTCCGCGCCGCCGCGGCCGCCGCTGTCGCAGGCATCGCGCGCAGCCGCCTCCTGCCCACACTCCGCGCCGCCGTGGCAGCCGCCGTCACAGGCCTCGCGCGTGGCCGCCTCCTGCACACGCTCCGCGCCGCCGCTGACTCGCCGTCGACAACCTTGCGCGGCGGCTGCTCCCAGCTAATTTTGTGATTTCAGGTGAAAGAAGATAGCGCCAGGGGCAATCTCGCCATTTTGAAATTTTTTTCATCTCTTTTGACCCTGGAATTATAAAATATTGTCTCTGATGTCCTATAGCTAATTACACCATTTTTTTAGTGTCCATCAGCTGTGTCACGTTTTTACGGTGTCTCTCAGCCAATTACACATTTTATGAGTGTCCTATAGCAAATTTTTGCCATCTTTATATGCACTATATTCATGAATTTTCTCAGAAAATTAAAATCACAGGAACATGTGTAATATTTGATTTTCCCTGAAGGGGGACGTGGGTGACCCTGGATTCAAAATACATTTTGCTATAGTTCGTTCCACAGCTAGCTTCTCTCTTATAAAATATGATATTTAAGATAATTTTCCTGTCTAACATAGTTTTTCTATGTTCTGACAAAGCACAGAACTCCAAATCAGCACTATTTTATGACACGAGATAAAAAGGTGGTAAAAAAAAATCAGTACTGCCGTGCACTACATAATTTGGTGAATACACGTTTACGTTTCCATTATCACAAAATGGACACTATCCTCAATAAGGCAAATGTAAGACTGCATCAACATATATTTTTTTTGCAGATGCAGGAATGCCCCAGATAATTTAAAACAAAACAAAGCGATAACATAAAGAATGCAGCATGGCTATTATTTGGATCCTATCCAGTTGCTAGAGATAACTGGTGCCAACTGAAGCCCAGATGCACTCAGGGAATTCACTGTCCCTTGACCAAGAATCTTAGAAATCAGCCAATGCCATATCAAAATCTGCATGCATGAAAGGCTGTTTTCTTTTGCAAAATGCTTCAAATTGATTCCATTGCATTTTAAAACATTCTGAAACCACATTTTCCAAATGTTTGAAGTCCCACGTGTTTATGTTCAAGAATAATACGAAATAAGCCATATCAGAACCCCTGTAAATCATATACTCCGATGATCCTTGCCAGGTTCAACTAGTGAACTAGTGAACAACACAAGTTAGGCCCTGTTTAAATCCCTCTCCATGAACGTTTGAACTTCTGCATAAAGTATTAAATATAGGCTAAAAAAATAACTAAGTGCACAGATTGCGACTAATTTGCGAGACGAATCTTTTAAGCCTAATTGCTCCATGATTTGACAATGTGGTGCTACAGTAAACATTATTTGCTAATGATGGATTAATTATGATTAATAAATTCATCTCGCAGTTTACATACGGATTATGTAATTTGTTTTGCTATTAGACTACGTTTAATACTTCAAATGTGTATCCATATATTCGATGTGACATGCTAAAACTTTACACCCCTGGATCTAAACACCCCCTTACTATAATTTACACAATTGAGAAAAAGGTTGGAAAAGGCAAACACACAGGAAAAATATGGTGTTAATACCTTACTGTAGAATCCTGCAGCATGAAGATAGTTCTTGCTCTGGAACGCCATACTCCCTAGTGACTTTAACTCTGTTATACTTCTACTCACAGGTGCTCCCTGAATCAGAGTATCATCAAGAATACTAAACAAATGAAGACTTGCAGCATGATGCATGGAAAGTATGACTGTATGAGATATTACTAAAGCAACTACCACCATGCTTTAGGGATTTGGAAAAAGACAGAATTGGTTGCCTGGGCATGATGTGTTTAAGCATTCATGATAATTTGCTATAGCATCCACGCCATGGTTCCTAAAGGTAGCGAGGAATGGTACCAGACCACCACGACACATACTCATCACATGCCATGGCATCAGGCATGTGATGAGTTAATACCATAGAAAGCATTGAAACTGAAAATGCAGAGAGAAAAACAGGCAGAAGTGATTAATAAAAGGAAAGGGGCAAAGGGAAAACAAATCAACCAGCCCACCTACTATCCTACATTACCATACAAGTTCAGCAAGCATAAACATCGTAACCCATCTCCTTCATCATGCTTTGTGTGTGCTAAATAGTCAGCTGCAACCATCGAGGCCTAGTTAGACAAGGGATGAGCCAACTGGGAACAAGCGAATGCAGTTGCAACAGAAAGCTTTACTAGGTCCCTAGTATTCATCCTACTGCAACAGCCCAACTCATCAATGACTATATGCTGTCATGAGCATCATAATTATTTAATCTTCAAGGGTCCAGTCTCCCATGTCACCCGTTTCTGAAAACTCAAATTTTTGACATGCTGCAATGATTTAAAGAATTCAAACATTGTGACTGTAGAACATATAAGGTTGTACAAACCTAAGAAACTCCCTTTAAAATTCATCCTAGGTTTCAAGGTGAAGGTACAAAGGAAAAGTTGTAGACTTGTATTATGGCAGAATGAACAGTGGGTGCCCTCATGAAAACCAAAACCTTTTTTTACATCTTGGAAACTAGAATTTTTTTTTCAAAACAATTTTTGCATATTTCAACAAAATTGTGTGTACCAAACTCAAGTTTCTTTTTGGATCTAGAATTCGTATTCGTTACATATCCCTAGACAGAATAAATCACATGCATGAATTATGGTGACAGAATAATTATGTGATGAGACTACGAAGAGGAAAGAAGCATTCAGAAATTAACCTGTTCTTTTCAGATTATACACCAGATTATTGAATGGGTTATTTGCTCCACTCTCATTTAGACCACTTGTTTAATTTTTTTAAACCATTTGTTAAGTATGTTCATCAAAGACATTAACCAAACAGGCAAACACCTCCCGAAAAGCTGAGCTACCCACATTTAGTTCATATTACAAGCATGTACTAGACAGTACGTGTGTGAGATCAGAAATGCACACATGCAGAAGTCAACTCTTACATTGTCAGCAACGTGATGACTGGCAGTAAACCCTTCCAGTAAGCAATGCAAACACTGAGTTGAACGAAGTATCAGTTAAAGCTGTTAACACATAATCTCCATTGATATCAGCACCAGCCTATCATAGAAAAAAATGATATACATCAGTACACAAGATTTCACCAGCAATATGTAATAATGCAATTTCGGATATAAACTAAAAATAACAGCTTTATTGCTAGTGCCTATTTTCTAAATGTCTACTGTGCTGTTTGGCTCAAGTAAACCATATTTGTCGAAGCAAAACTGATGGCCAAAAGTTCCCAAAAACGGAAGATAATAATTAACAAAGAATCATATAGCTTATAAGGTGTTATGACACAACTGTAGACAGACTGCACAAACCAAACTAAGGCTGCATTCGATCTCCTCTTTCGGAGAGATTTTTAGCGCACGCAAAACGAGAAAGCTCATTAACTAAGCATCAATAATCATAAACTTGAAAAATGGATTTATTTGAATTTTTTAAACAACTTGTATATAGACTTTTTTTTTTTACAAAAACACACCATTTAACAGTTTAAAAAGCGTGCTAACGGAAAACAGGGAAGTTGAATTTTCGAGTTGAAGAAAAGAATTGGGCCTAATATAATGACAAGCAAGTGAAACTTTCCAAGCTTGAGTGGAAGAATGTTGAAACAAAGCAAACAAACCTCACCATAACTATAGGATTCAACAAAGCTAAATGAGACCACTTTACCTTAACCAGGAGCTTCGCGCATTTTTCTGAGGCATGATTTATAGCAACAAAGAGAGGTGTCATACCAAGTACCATCTTGTTGTACTGTTGAGAAACATCAAACATATTAGTTCCTAATGATAACACTGGATAAAGGATGAAACATAATAAAATGGTTGATTTAAAGAAGCATATTGTTGTCTGAAGCTTTAAATTGAGAGGATGATAGAGCAGCTTGCATGGCAGTACAAAACTAAATAAGCACATTGTCAATATTTTTATGGACTGTATTGTGGCTTATTGACTTTCTGGTCAAGTGTTATAGACTTTACTCAATTCCAGATGGCACCACAGAACAATTAACAGTACAGAATAAGGTACCATAAATTATGGTAGAAGTACAAAAGAGCAATTGCATAATAAGTCCAAACAATAGAAACTTATTTGGTACAGAAGAAACGACAAAGCATGTCTTACAACAGATTTGAGAACAAAACCAAACACAATTGCCATTCCAAAGCTAACTTTAAGGTAGGATTAGCATGCAGTTAAGCTTACATCCGCTTTGTGGTCCAACAATATCTTCATGGTACCATCCTGCCCTTCAGTAGCAGCAAGATGTAATGGTGTCCCACAGTCAGATAACGGGTCAACATAAGCTCCTTTTGCAAGCAATAGTTTTACCATTTTACAATCACCTGAATAATGAAAAATCCATCGAGTATTTAATACAAAAGAGGACAATTGTAAATTCTAACAATCTCTTTCTATTGCAAAGTTATTGAAACCCCTTTTTTTCCAGAAGATGTGCTACAAAAACCAATAAAAGAAAGTATGGCAAAAGACCAAGATCTACACAGATCTACACTTTCAGCAAAATGACAAGCCGATAAACAGGGAAAATTGAAAATGCGTAGGACCAATGGCATATTTTTTATGAGAATATGTATTCCTAGAAATTACAAGAAAACCACCTCATAGGAAAAAAAACATAAATGTTTATTGTATCCACTGAACAAAAAAGAAATTTACGTAAAAATAACTTTTAGAGGATGCGTACACAGCAGTATTAGGTTATTTAATGACAATTAGCAGTATTTAGTTATTGTGTTGGAACAAAGTTTTGCTTCATTATTAACATAAAGGAAGAAGAATATCATTATGTAACAACAGAAGATTGCTTATAGTAAGGAAATAACACCACACACTGTCTATTACAACAGAAATACAGAACTTCATAAAAAAGTGCAACAAACATATGCATAACAGTGATACTCGTTTATAGTGGGGGACCTAATCCAGCAGCAGAATGCAGAGGAGTTAGGCCACCCTCGCTTGCTTTGTCTTTATTTGCACCGTGATCAAGAAGATACTTGACCGTGCCTATGCGTCCACTGTGTACAGCAGAAACCAGAGGTGTCCTCCCTGTCAAGCAAACAGGTGAACACCTATCAAAACAGTATCTTCATCTCAAAAATATAGAGCCAGAAAGAGCTTTTCCAAGAGAATGGCATTCAGAAGTTGCTACTCTAGAGATATAATGCAGGTATGTGAAATTTAGGTGATGTGAGGAATAAAACAGTAAATTCCATAAGACAAAATTGGGCTAATTGGAATGGCATAAAACATTGATCGCACAAGACAAATTTGGACAGATCCTAATGGCAAGTGTAAACCTTCAATTAAATTGTATAGTCAGTGCAGAACTTATGCAGAATCAAGTACATATTCTTGGAGAATGTGAATATGTGCAAATAAGTGAATTAAAAAACTAACATGGATATTATCTTGGTAATATTTTATAATTGGAATGGCCACGATCATGAATAAGCAGAGGATAATAAATTGGGGTTAACTGGATCCATGCCATTATAAATTTACCAGTTTTAAACAATGTCATTATAACTCTGTCTAATTGGATATGCCACCACGTACCCTTTGGATGCAGTGAAATTTTATTTTAGACTAAATTGCCCTTTATCTTCTACCTCCGTACTCTCCACTCTTCCTCCCATCCCTAAGCAGGGATAGCGGCAGACCCACCTCCTCCCCAAGCCCCGTTGCCGGAGCCAAACTCCCACACCTTGCGTCCACCCAACAAAACCAAAACTCGAAGCATATCGGCTTCATCAATCAATGATGAACCCAACAAAATTTTCTATCTCAAGAAATTTCTGCATGTCTTTTGTTTTTCCCCCGGTTTGGTTGATGGTCAAAAGCTTGGATTTCAGAGTGCAAACTTGCTCGCATCTGGGCAAACATTGGATATTTTGAATGATTTTAGCGCCTTGTCTTGATTTTGGTGTTTGTTTGCTTGGGCATCTTTGGAGCTAAAGGTTTAATTTTGGGAGGATATTTAGCGGTTCGCAGACATTTGGTGGGAGCGGAGGACATGAAGTTCTTCAGCACCGCTACGTGCCCGCAAAGCCAACCTACTCGCCCAGATCCTCGAGCCCGACGGATGAGTTTGTCAATGAGCGGCGGATCTGGGAGAGAGATAGAGATAAGGGTAGTTTGGTCCAAAAAGGAATTTCAGTGCAAACAAATGGTAAGCAGTTGCATATTTCTAATTTTAATATATTTGCAATGGAATCTTCCAATTAGATGAATTGTAATGGCATTTTTCAAAAGGGGCAAATTTATAATGGCATGAATCCAATTAACCCCAACAAATGGGTATGGATGCTGAACCATGCTTTCTTTATTATAAATTCACGAGGTAAATCAAAATGACATCCAGAAGCTTTTTATGGCATGCACAATTCTAGAAGGAATAAAACTATTGATTCAAAAAATATTAATTGAGATGTATATATTAAAACAAAAAATTTGATAATTTGACACTTTTTTCGATGCCCAATTACTTTAACTGACATTTGTGATGATGACATGTGGGGCCATCTGAGTGAATGAAAGTGGGCCAGGATATCAAATAATCGAAACCCATTTAAAAGAGTGTTAAATTATCATATCTCTTAGTCTATGCATGAAAACCAGGACACCCCACAAGCCCCCAATGCAAAGTGAAAGTTGCATATTGTGACAACCAAAACCACCCTACACCGCTCACTGGGAACAATCAGAACTATGCAAACTAGGGTTTGTATCCAGAGAAGCAGACCTTCTTTGTCGAGGTCATCCACATCGAACCGCATCGTCTCAACCAGGTACCTGACCACATTCATGCTCCCGTTGATGGCAGCGAGGTGCAGCACGCCGGCACCTTCCATGCCTTGCACGCCTGCCTGCCTCGCCTCTCCCACGGTCTCCCGGAGGCATCCCCTCCCCGTATCCAGCATGTTCGCCAGGTCTGGATCAAACGAAATCGAACAACACCACCACAGCACCCACAAAGAAAACAAAAAAAAACGGAAGGGAAAGAAAAGATCAGCACCGGGAGAGGAGTCGAAATGACGAAATCCAAGCCGGTAGGTAGAATCCACCCCTGCATACTCTTGAAGCCGCGCAGGTTGTCGTTGTACGCCGCCTCGAGGAGCATGTGATGCGCGCCGGCGGCGGCTCCTGCGGCGGGAAGGGGTAGAGGAGTTAGCGGCGGGTTCGTTGCGTTGCGGCCTGAGGGGCTAGTAGGATTAGCTAGCGGAGGGGGGCTCTTACCTGGGCTCAAACCGGAAACATGACGCGGCGACGCCATGGGTGGGGGTGATGGGCGAGGTGCTCCGGTGGAGAAAAGTAGAGATCGCTAGGGTTTGAGAGTTGGCACTGGGAGAGAAATATAGGGGGGAAGTAGGAGCTGTTGCGTGGTTTTGAAAGGGAGGGGAGGAGGAGAAAGGGGAAGAATTGGCGGAAGGAAGGTGGAAGCGTATGCGGGAAGCTCGTTGGATACTGCGCCACTGCGCCGTGAAAAGAGCGCTGGTTGCCCAGCAACAACACTAGAGGCTGACATGTGGGACAAGTTTGCACTAGGGCCCATGTGTCTTTCATTACTATTGCAAGTACACGTATCACAAAATGGAGTATACTTTTTTTTTTTTACTAAACCGGCACAGGAACTGCCAATTATCTAGACTAATATAAAAGGTACGAGTTGTTTAGTGCAATTAACACCGTAATTGTAATTAGCGTCGGATTAACGCTCCCACGCCTTTTCCCCATCGCAAAATCCCTGCCCACGTCATCAAATCCCGCGCCGCCCCTTGCCTCTCCCTCCAAACCGTCACTGGGCGGCACCCAGGATCGCGTGCCCCACCCTCCCGACGCCCCTACCCGCCGCCCCCGCCGCCGCCGCCAGCGGCGCCTCCCGCTCGGCCCCGACCGGCGAGTCGCGTAGGAGGGAAGCGCCACACTTACACAACGAGAGGAAGCGCTGCTCCGGGGGCACGAGAGGAAGCGACCACGTGCCCCACCCTCCCGACGCCCCTCCCCGCCGCCGCCCGCCACCGCCGCCAGCGGCGCCTCCCGCTCGGCCTCGACCGGCGAATCGCGTAGGAGGGAAGCGTCACACTTACGCAACGAGAGGAAGCGCTGCTCCGGGGGCACGAGAGGAAGCGCTGCTCCGGGGGCGGCGTCCGGCGCGGCTTGACTCGGACGCGACGGCGACGGCACGGTCTCTCCTCCGGTGGCCACCTTCTCCTCGGTGAGTTCATCCCCTACCCCTCTTCCCTCCTCTTCTAGGGTTAGGGTTTCTCGCACACGTGCTGCTGCTGCGGCAGTGACGGCGCACGACGATGGTAGGCGTGGCGGGGGACGCCGGAGAGTCACACCCTCTCGCCATGGCCGTTGAAGCTCCGTTGCTGCGGCAAGGAGAAGCAGCTTCAAGAGTTCTTTCTTCCACTGTTTCTTGATTAAGCTCGTCAATGGAAGCAGGCAGGGCCAGTGTTAGTGTAGGCATGTAGCTCACTGAATTGTATAGAGTAAATTTTTGTTCAGATGTTCAACAAAGAGACAAAAGGCACATGCATTGTACACCAGAAATAATCTAGGCAAAGGTGATCATTTAATGGCACAGTGTTCTAACTTCTAAGATATTATTTTCAGACAAGTTGGGTTTGTTCTGACATATAATGGGGTTTTCTTCTTCTCAGCTTATTGGTTGACATGAGCTTATGCTGAAAGACAAAACAGTCAAAAACACTGCTGAATGCAGTACAAAGTTTTACCTTACTGAAATTAATTAGTTTTTGATAAATAAACTGTATTCAGATAAATAAATTAGTTCAATGTCATGGGCATGGGGGTGCTTCAATTAGTAGCTGAATAGAAGGGACATTTTTTGGAATGTAGACTTCACTCTAAACATTTTTTGTGACTTGCAGATCTTTTACACGGAGACTTCAAATCTACTGGTTTCTTATTTTTTAATTTTTCAAATTCAAGCCTTACAATTCAATTGTAGACTAATTTAGTTTCAAATGAACACCAATGGACAATCATGATTCATTTTAGAATTAGAAATCTTATTACCACTGTTACTAGGGCAGCTGTGGCACATATCGAAAGTAGACATTTTGAAAAGCAGAACATGTGAAGTGACTGACTTGTTGTAGAGACATGCATCTGCATATGATGGGAAGTAGAGATAGAGCTTAGGGCTTCTTGTGTACTGCAATCCTGAATTTACAGCATTCACTGCAATCACCATTGCTTATCATCTCCCTGGTTCCATGCCCTCTCTTTTTTTTCGTGTCTTAGTGTTATTCTATTTCCTACATGTGAACTTTTCAATAGTATAGTATTGATTTCATATATGCATCGATTTCATATATGCATCAATGTTCTTGACCATCAGCAATTAAGTTAGTATATTTTTGTTCTGATTCTTGATCATCAATCACACACACCTGTCATATTTTGCTGAAAGATTCTTTTGGTTGAGATGTGCAAGCAGCAAGCAGCAAGCAACAACCTACAGATAGCAGTCCATTATTTTAAATGTCGTTTTTGGTAGTTAAAACTATGAAAAATGCACATAAAAATTTCTCTTTTCTACATCATAGATTGAGATCACAGCCGCCAATCCGAAACAATTGGTCACTGCATAGAAGTGTTCCTTAAATTATTGCAGTTTCAGACAGAAACTAAAGGGAGCTTTTTCCCTGCAGGCTTTGGGAAGAAGGAAGTCTGCAAGGATACTGGTTTTGTGCGGCATCGGCAAATGTTAATCCTGAACCTTTGAATATGTATATTGTTGATGCAACCTTTGAATAGAGCAAATGTTGATACTGAACCTTTGAATATGTATAAGTTAGAAGGTCTGCTGCTTCATAATAGTAGATCATATGTGTATTTCTGAATATATCTTCTTTGTTTGGTTTTTTCCAGTACGGCACTCTGCTACTATTCTAGGTACATGTCCGCAACCTGTAATATTATTTTGCGGTGTACTGATTGGGCGGTTAGATTTCGAAAGCAATCTCAAATTATCTGTCCTATCCAATCTATTGCCAGATTACCCAGGTGCCATGTGCAATACTATTTTTTTTTTAAAAATGTGGCAATCAGGAAGTTTGAGAACCAGTATGTACTCCTACCAATGAAGTTTGGAAAGAAAATTTACATAGTTTGTGGCAAATAATGTTCAGGTTTGCAGATTAACATGCTACCACGGTCAAAACTGTATGTAATACTTGCAAGTGTCAGATTTTGTTTGTTCCCCTACTTTACTAAAACTGTAAATTAGGTTAATAACTTGTTTCTGATATATAACAATAAAAGAAACCATGATATTAAAAAGTATCTGTTAATGCTATTAGGCATCTGAATATATTGGCTTACTTCTATTGTTTATAATACAGGTTGACACTGTCGACAAATGAAGATTTTGGTAAAATCCTATCATGTTTGACCATGGTGTTTCACTGTTAGGTACACGGTATTTAGGAGCTATTCGTATAGTAAATACTGGAATATTGAAGTAAATTATATGTTCAGCTTATTAACTGCATTGCAATATCTTTGATCTGGAGACGGTTTTAATTTTCATTTGTGTGGTCGCATCCTTTAATTTATATAACTTCATAAGAATATACTCCAAAGTACATGCTGGTTTATGTATTTTTATGCCTTCCTATTCTAATTGTCTAATGGCTCTTGAACAATAGATGTAAACTACGATGTCTGAAGTTTTCCATGTTTTCTTCCTTATGAAAATGAGATGGAGCTATGGCAAGCTGCTTTGGCAATCCAAGTTTTTCATGTGGCTTGAGCTGAAGGGAAGATGCCTCATGGCTGACAATCTACAGAAAAGAGGTGGCCTCATCAAGCGAATTGCTCCCTATGCAACCTGACGTTTCAAGATGACACCCAACCTTTTCTCAATGTGCTTTTCACAAACAGGATTTGGAGATTGCTCAGGAGCTAGGTGAATGTTGGCTTTCAGCTTCCCAGACCTCAATGTAGACTTGGCTGATTAGCAGATGATTTCAAGGAGAAGCTTCAGAGATTGTCTCAGAAAAGTTTTTGGTACTCTTCTCCTCTTCAGAGATTGTCTCAGGAAGTTGTATGGCTGTGCAGCTCTTTGGTGACATCAAAGAGGAAATCACAATCTGGAGATAATAGGCGAAAGACGATTGGTATTATTCCTTTTGCAGTTTTTTCTCTCCCGCTCATTGTAACCGATTTCGACAGCTTCTTGTGGATGCTTAGTTTGTAACACCATCTCCTAATTTTAATGGATTTTCTTAGCCTACTCCTGGGCCAGTCTGGCTAAAATAGATGTAATCAGAAACATAACTTGTAAAAATAAAACCAATCATTTTTATCCTAACAAAAGGCTGCTCAACACTGTAATAATTTATGTTGAAAAGATACTAAAGGAAGTGGCAAAACAGCATGTCTTTTGCTACTTTGTTCGGCAATCTTTTTTCATGAAGCATTCTCTAATTTTGTTGTGGTTAGTCTTTTGAAAAGGCTATATTGAAGAAATTTCTTATTTTGTTTTGGTTCTTTCTATATGCAAAAATTAAGGGCCCCTTTGATTTGGAGGAAAAACATAGGAATTTTGGAGGATTTCAATCATATAGGAAATTTTATATGTTTTTCTATTCCTATAGGAAATCAATTCAATAGTTGAATAGCAAGCAATGTTCAGAAAGGTTGAATGTGCACTTGATATGTTAATAAATTACCTTTCAAAGTATGTGTACTTTCTAATTTTTAAATGTGATTTTATATTTCCTTGATATATATTATGAAAAAAATGCCTTGCACGTGCATAATTACTAGTCTTTCAATTAAGTAGGAGTAAAAACACAGACAAGTTACAGAAAAAAACAAAAAACAACTTCTCAGCGAGAAGAACTCGCCAAGCCCCTCAACTGCGACCGGTACAACCACACAGCACACGGAGCACCACACCACTCTATCCAAACTACCAATGAGAAACAACGACAGAACCCAACGACAAAGATCGATGTTGAGATGCTGAAAAAGCGGTACAAAGCTTTGACTTTGACTTCGCGAGGCACGTGTCATTGTTGCCGAGCTTGCCGCCCAACATCCAACAGCTCCGACTCCACGGCGGTCCCGTCATCGTTGGCAAAGGCACTGCCAAAACAATCAAGACAACGCCAAATTCACATGTTCAACATCAGCCAAAGCCCATGCATCGGCAACCACCAACACCCCTAGACAGAAATTGCAAGTGTTATCGTTGCCAAGCTTCATCGCACCCAACAACATAGCAGCTCCGACTCCATCCGACAGAAACAAACGAAGAGAGTTGGATGCCACCAACAAACAAGAAAGGAGCCAAGAAGGCAAAGGCCTCGCCAAACACCTAGGCATCTAGTGCTTCGAGCCTTCGAGTTGACACAGTAGTCTACCAACGATGATCGATGCATGGGTAAGGTTCTCCAAAACGGCGCCCCATGGACGACACGACGTGAAAGCGCCACCACCGCTTGTCCGGAAACCGGATCAAGGTTTTCACCTAGAGATTGGTAGCGACGAAGGAAAACACCATAACGACGCCAAAGGTGCCGCCTTCGTCAGCCACCCAAAGGCTAGGCAAGGCTTTCGCTAGCGAGTTCCATTCAGTACCACCACCAGCCCACAACAACTGTCGCCGAACCACCACCTTGACCCTCCAGACACCAAGCTAGCCCGGTCGACCACCCCACGGCTCAGGTAGGCTCACAGCAGGATGTCGCAAAGCCACCGTGTTCACCCTCTCCCGGAACTCCCCATGGCCAGAATAGGGTTCTAGCCATAGGAGGGGAGGAGTTCCACGGAGAGGAGGTTACTCGACCAGCAAACGAGAAGATGGACCGCCGTCGCCGCCAGCCGCTTCCCCGCTCGCACCACCAATCCTTGAGAAGTCGCTACCTCCTTGCACCGCCACCTCACGTCGTTGGCCACCCCGTAGTAGACC